TACAATGAGTCGACCTTGTACAATGAGTCGACCTTGTACAATGAGTCGACCTTGTACAATGAGTCGACCTTGTACAATGAGTCGACCTTGTACAATGAGTCGACCTTGTACAATGAGTCGACCTTGTACAATGAGTCGACCTTGTACAATGAGTCGACCTTGTACAATGAGTCGACCTTGTACAATGAGTCGACCTTGTACAATGAGTCGACCTTGTACAATGAGTCGACCTTGTACAATGAGTCGACCTTGTGTAATGAGTGCTTATCCGTGTGTAATGAGTCGACTCAAAAATCGACTCATTACACTCTAGGACAACGTCTTCTGTGGACAAGGTGGGGCTGGGGTGATGCTGTGGGGGACAGGAAAGGGGAGTTCGTGTTGAGAGGAACTCCAGCATTCAAATGTCGAGGTTCCTGAAATTTGAATGACTGTGACACCAAGGCGCAAAAAAGCGGCGTTCTTTTCAAATTTTTGTCGTTTTAAACGACATAGTAAGATTCCGTCGTTTAAAACGATAAAAAGCGGTCAATGTGCCCTTTTGTTATGGTGCAAAGAATCGATCGTTTTATATGATCGCTTTTTTTGTACCCAACAATTGAAAACGTATATTGCGTATGTTGGTTTGGCTGACTCGATTTTGGTGTCGCTCCAAAGTCAGATTCGAGCTGACACAATTTTCCAACGAAACGCGACTCGGCGCCAATGTCGATCCGCGAATTGGATCCAATTCGCGAAGCCGTTGCGAACTGTACCCCACTGTCGCTAGTGGCCCGGTGTACAGTTTCGCGCCTGAAAATGAGTTCGCGATGTACGCGACACATCGCGAACCTGACGTGTCGCAAATTTCCCAAACCCCCCAGAGGTGTGCACCATTTCCAACGACTTCATCAAATGGCCTTCACGATTATTGTCGAGTTGAGCACATACAAATGTGGAGCACGATAGAACAGGTGAGTGCATCTCAAATTCCAGAGATTAAGAATCTTAGCTAGCTCAGTCAGTGCTAGCAACAGCGCCCAAGACCACAGTTCCGCCATGCCGCGGACTCCTTCTCGCTTGTGGGAACACGTCACCCGCACGTTTGATGACGACGGTAAACTCGTTAGGATCTAGTGTAACTACTGCACGCAAACCATGACGTCAAGAGCCACACGAATTCAGGAGCACCTTTTAGGTACCCCGGCCACGAAGTCAAAGAATATCGCCACGTGCACCTCCGAGTTCGAGCGGACGCTGCGCGAGAAGGGAAACACCGCCAGATCTTCGCGTGGCTCGGCATCCACGTCGACGAGCGAGGCGACGACGTCCAAGGCGCAAGTCCAGCTCGATATCCGTGCGATGTCGGATCAAGCTGGCAAGGAGTGTCTTGACCACTTGTGGGCCGTCGCGGTGGCCGAGAATGACTGGGCCTTCCGCTGTTCCCAGTGAGTAGTCGTCTCTCTATCGCCATTGATGCTCCCGCAGGATGTCTTTCGCACCCGTTCCTCGCGTGGCACGCACATCACTCCCCTCGCTCTAAGTCCCCGCCTTTTCCCACCCACCAGGTCCAAAGCGACGCAGGCGTTCGTGAACGCAGCAGTGGTGTACGGGAAGCCGTACGAGCTACCCTCGGCATACAAGGTGTCGGGGCCCCTGCTCCAGAAGTTGAAGGCCGACACCTTCGAGCTGGTGTCGCCCCTCAAGGAGACTTGGAAGTTCGTCGGCTGCACCTTATCAGTCGACGGCTGGTCTTGCTTGAAGAGCCGCGCCATCGTATGCGTCATTGCGCAAAACGAGAGCGGCCCGGTGCTCGTCGATGTAGTGGACTCTAAGATCGCCAAGAAGACAGGGTCTTACTTGGCGGCCTTGATCCGCAAGGCCGCGAAGTCAGGGACAAAGCCGTTGTCCAGTGCGTGATGGACAATGCCAGCAACAATAAGAAAGCGTCCAACCTTTTGAAGGAGGGCTTTCCGGCCATTTTTTTCCACCAACTGCGCCGCTCATTGCCTAGACCTGATGCTGAGTGACATTGGGGGCATCCCCGTAGTGCAGAAGGTGCTAGCGGAGGCGCAGCGAGTAGTGATGATGGCTAAAAACAGTGCGAGCGCCATCATTCTCTTTAGGGAGATTTTCAGCCAGCTCGAACTTGTCAAACCTGGAGCCACTCGTTTTGGAACCCAGGTGATAATGATCACCCGGTTCCTTGCTGTGAAGGAGTCTTTGCTGCGGCTGGTCATTAGCGAGGAGTGGAAGGGGGTAGCCGTCAGTGGGACAAAGGAGGGTCAGGAGATTCGGGCGATGCTGCTGGAGGAGAAGTTCTGGGAGTCCGTGAACGTTGTACTCCGACTCATGCAGCCGGTGTACGGCGTCCTTCGGGCAGTGGACACGCGAGCACTGCTGATGGCCAAGATCTATGGCCTCATGGTTGAGGCCACGGTCAAGACCAACGAGGCGGCTAGTGCTGCGGGTAAGTCATCCGCTTTTGTTCCCCTCCCAGCTTTCTTCTCTGCCCGTTGCATGCTGGGCTGGATCCCCTTCCCGAACCCCCGCTCTCTCTCCACCCAATCCCCATTTCCACAGCTACTTTCTTCATTAAGAAGACCGAGCTGATGGAAGCGAAGGACAGAGCCATCTTCTTGGCTAGCGTGAAGAAGATTATCGCAAAGAGGTGGGGACGCTCAGCTGCACAACCCCCTCCATGCTATGGGGTGGCTGCTGAGCCCCCTCAACCAATTTGCGGACGAGGTGTGGGGCGACACCGAGCTCCGCAAAGGGGTTGACGCCGTGCTCAAGGCACGTGAGTCTGACCCCGGACGGCGCACCATGCTGCAAGCGCAGCTGCAGTCATTCCACAAGGGGGAGGGGAAGTTGGGGGGGAAGGACGCGAGGTGGGCGGCTTCCGCTCTGGTCCAGTGCGGAAGGATGTCGGAGGCCAAATGGTGGCTCATCCACGGAGAGGAGGTGTGCCAGCTGCAGGAGCTTGCGGTCAGGATCCTCTCCCAGCCCATCACCTCGTCTGAGGTCGAGCGTTGGTGGTCAGCCATGGCTCGAGTCCAGCGGCGTGACCGAAACAACCTCAGCCCCGAGACCATGATTGACATCACATGGGTCGCCTTCAGCAGGCGCGCCCGGGCTGCGTTCGACCTCAAGCTAGAGCTACGCTCGAAGCTCTATGCCGACCTTGATTCTGGAAGGCTGAAGGAAGGCTGCAGCGTGCCCGAGGCGCCCCCTCAGCAAACCGAGCCGGCAGAGGAGGAGGAGGGGGAGGATGCCGTGGGCTGTGCCATCGATTGGAGGAAGTTTGGGGCAGCCGGGGGGTGGAAGAAGAAGCGGTCAGCCAAGCGCAAGGCCGGTAAGCGGGCAAAGAAGTTGGGCGGGTCCAAGAAGGGCAAAGAGTAGCGTGCAGCAGACTCGGATGAGGACGAAGAAGCAGGGAGCTCTAGTGAGAGCGGGGGGGATGAATCCCACGAGAGGCGCAAGGGGGGAGCACCATGGGAGCAGAGCGGGAGTGAGAGCGGGGAGGAGGATGACGAGGAGGAGGAGGAGGATGAGTAGAAGTAGTAAGGGGGGGGTTAGGGGCCGGAGGAAGGCAGGGAGCTTTGCTCACGGGGAAAGTGGAGGAGGATTAGGAATAGTAGGGGGGGGGACGGTAGGGGCAGCGCGATAGGGGTAGGGAGCTCTACTCACCTCTTTCATGGCGAATCTGTTGTCGTAGTCAGTGCAGTATGCCTCAGGGATAGTGCCATGAGGTTTTTAGATTGATTAATAAAAAACTTGTGACTGGAGTTTTCGAACAAAAAAACGGAGTTTTTTTTTCAAAAAAAAGCCGTATAAAACGATCGTATTAAACGGCCCGTTTAAAACGACCATCGCTTTTTTGCGCCTTGTGTGACACTTCTTCGAATCACTTCGTAACCGTGGGTCGTTCCAACCAAGAGGAAATAATCGCTAACCTGAGCGCTGTCGCAACCAAAGGCTGCTATACAATGTCAAGTATGTTTCAAGAGTTGTGGAAACAACGCGCGAATCGTTTTCAAATGGTGACGGAGAGTGAGATGGAGAGTGCGGAGGAAAGGACGGTGGAGCGGGAGGTAGAGGGAAAGAGAGGTAGAGGTATTGGTCTCTTCTTCCTCCACAACCTCTGGCTCCCTCTCCACCGTCCTTTCCACCTCTCGGCCGTCTTTTTTACCTCTCCATCTCACACTCCACCTTACTCTCCATCATCATCTTGAAACACTCTGCGAGTTCTCTCCATAACTCTTGAAACAACTTTGACATTGGCTAACATCCTTTCTTTGCGATGACCCTCTGGTTTAGCAATGCGTTCCTTTCGGTTGCGACGGCCCACACTTACAGAGTGACTTGAAATGGCGTCACGCTCATTTGTTCGGCATTGAAAAAAGTGAGGCCGGAGATGGAAAGGGGGGGAACAGAAAAGGGGGTTATGGGGTAGTGGTTAAAGCAGTGTCATGCTCAAACTTGTGCTTGTCCAGGTTAGTGTTAGTGCTGGAGACGGTGGGGCTCGGAAGGGAGGGAATCTAGAAAGAGGGGAGGGGGGGGAGGGGGGGGGAAAAGACTAGTGCTTAAACTTGCGCCCAGGTTGGCTGGTATCATCTGTTGAAAAGGCGGGTCTCTAAAAAAAAAACAGATAGGGGGTTACACGGGTGGGTGCACATGGTGCACACAGGGAAGGGGGCTTAGGTTTGGGGAATGGTCTCCGAAGGAGCCTAAACAATGAAGCTTGCCAAGGTACTTTTCTTCTACCACCGCCAGCACTCACCGCGTGTAGAAGCGCCGGAAGCCCACATGGAAGAGCAGCCCACATGGAAGAGCAGCCATTGTTTCGATTGGATTTGGGCGGCAAACGAGTCGGACTTCTTGACAGAGAAGTGCAGCACGCTCATGCGCGTCTCGTGCTGCAGCTGCAGTGCACTTCCCTTTCAGGCACTTTTCCTTTCATGCACTCTGAACCTTGCACCAGCCCCAGCCCCAGCACCAGCCCCAGCCCCAGCACTCACCGGGTATAGAAGCGCCTGAAGCCCACGTGAAACAGCAGGCGTTGCTTTGATTTGATTGGTGCGGCGAACGAGTCAGCCTTCCTGACAGAAAAGTGCAGCACGCTCATGCGCGTCTCGTGCTGGAGCAACCCCGTGACGACAAGTGGCAGCCCGCGATTGGCCGTCTCGTGCTTGAGGCGCTCTGAAAGGGCAAGTGAGAGGAGAGTTGTGAGGGAAGGTTTTAAGAGGGGGAAAAGAGAGCCACACGTTGTGAGGTTGTTACGCGTGAGGCATGACACCCAACCGACCTGGGCACTTCGCCCGGGCAGCTGGCCCGTTGAACCGGTTACTGGTAGTCCTCACCATTGGTGCCACCCTCCTCCCTTGCCTAACCTGCTTCCTTGCACTACCTGTTCCCAGGGCTACATGGCACATGCATACCTGCTTCATTGCACTACCTGTTCCCAGGGCTACATGGCAGATACATACCTGCTTCGTTGCATGCTCATGAGATGAGCTCATGGGAATATCTGCTTACAATACCTCGTGGCAGACATACCTGCTTCAAGGCACGGCACGTTCATAATGTGCAACCTAACAAACGTCCCTGCCCCAACCGACCCAGGCACCTCGCCCCGGTCCACTGCTGCCGCCCGCTCCTCCGCGGCCTTTTGTGTTCGCTTCCAGTTGTCAAAAGAAAAGATACGCGCATACTCAGAGGGGAGCGACTCCTGACAGGAGTTTCATGGGGCCAAAGAACATGGGAAATAGGGGTAGGTGTTGGGGGGGGTGCTGGAAACCACTGCAGTGGAGATTTTTTCAGTCGACTCAAAATGCGTGCATACTCAGGGGGTAGAGATTCCTGGAGAGAAGGAAGAAAAGTGGGAAGGAACACGACAATATGAGAGAGGCATTTGACAGGAATCGAAGTCTGCGCACCATCGCAAAGCACCGCACTGAACCACAAACACACACATCAGCATTCACACACCTTGGGGTCCCACGGGGATGAGCGGAAGGACTTGAGTCCGCGGTATTTGGCAAAGCGCTGCCTGGCGGGGATGTCGTCAGGGGTGTCGACCTCATCAGGGAACTCTGGGAGATTCACATCCAGGGAAGGCCGGGGGAGGGAGGAAGGGAGGAAGGGGAGGGGAGGACGGGGGAGGGAGGAAGGAAGGGGAGGGGAGGACGGGGGAGGGAAGGACGGGGGAGGGAAGGACGGGGGAGGGAGGGACGGGGGAGGGAGGAACGGGGGGGAGGGGAGGGAGGGGAGGGAGGGGAGGGAGGGAGGGAGGGAGGGAGGGAGGGAGGGAGGGAGGGAGGGAGGGAAGGACGGGGGAGGGGAGGGAGGGAGGAAGGGAGGAAGGGGGGGAGGGAGGAGGGAGGGAGGGAGGGAGGGAGGGAGGGAGGGAGGAAGGGAGGGAGGGAGGGAGGGAGGGAGGGAGGGAGGGAGGGAGGGAGGGAGGGAGGGAGGAAGGGAGGGAGGGAGGGAGGGAGGGAGGGAGGGAGGGAGGGTGGGAGGGTGGGAGGGAAGGACGGGGGAGGGAGGGACGGGGGAGGGAAGGACGGGGGAGGGAGGGACGGGGGGGAGGGGACGACGGGGGAGGAAGGGGAGGGAGGGAGGGAGGGAGGTGAGGCTGGCAAAGCGCTGCCTGGCGGGGATGGCGTCAGGAGTATCCAGCTCGTCCGGGAACTCTGATGGCGTGCATGTGTGTACAAACATGTATATGGGATAGGGGAGGGATACAGGTGGGATACAGGGGGCGGTGGGATACAGGGGGCGGTGGGATACAGGGGGCGGTGGGATACAGGGGGAGGTGGGATACAGGGGGAGGTGGGATACAGGGGGAGGCGGGATACAGGGGGAGGCGGTATACAGGGGGAGGCGGGATACAGGGGGAGGTGGGATACAGGGGGAGGTGGGATACAGGGGGAGGTGGGATACAGGGGGAGGTGGGATACAGGGGGAGGTGGGATACAGGGGGAGGTGGGATACAGGGGGAGGTGGGATACAGGGGGAGGTGGGATACAGGGGGAGGTGGGATACAGGGGGAGGTGGGATACAGGGGGAGGTAGGATACAGGGGGAGGTGGGATACAGGGGGGGTGAAATACAGGGGGAGGTGGGATACAGGGGGAGGTGGGATACAGGGGGAGGTGAGGCTGGCAAAGTGCTGCCTGGGGAGTTCACCTTGAGCACGAAGAGTGTGTGTATGGGGGGGGGAAGTGGGGGGTGAATAGGGGGAGGGAGGGAAGGAGGCAAGGCGAGGTTGCCAAATCGTTGCCTGATAGAGATGTCCCCTCACGAGGAGAAATTTCCGATGTTGGTAGACTATCACCCACCTTGATCCTCCTGCTGCTGCGCTCCAAGTTTCTTCACCTCCTCCCACTGCACTCACCTCCTCCCACTGCACTCACCTCCTCCCACTGCACTCACTTAACCGATTGCAACTACAACTCCACCCCTCGAACCGTGCCTGAACCACCTAAGCACCTCACCACCCACCTTGATCCTCCTGCTGCTGCGCTCTCAGCCTCTTCATCTCCTCCCACTGCGCTCGCGCCCTCCTCTCCGCCTCCGCCTCTGCGTCATCCTCATCCTGCCAGCCACAGCCAGGATGCATGCAGGAGGGTGGGGGGGAGAAAAGGGTGAATGCGAGCAGGAGAACCCCCGTCCCTGCCTCGCCTCTGCTTCCCCCTCATCCAACGACGGGCATTGGAGAGGAGGGCGGAAGGTTGAGAGACAGAGAAGGAATGAGAAGGAATGAGAAGGAATGAGAGGAGGAATGCAAGGAGGAATGAGAGGAGGAATGCGAGGAGGAATGAGAGGAGGAATGAGAGGAGGAATGCGAGGAGGAATGAGATGAGGAATGCGAGGAGGAATGAGAGGAGGAATGCGAGGAGGAATGAGAGGAGGAATGCGAGGAGGAATGAGAAGGAATGAGAGGAGGAATGAGAGGAGGAGCCCACCTGGGTGTTGTCTCCACCTAGCCTAGCCCAGCCCCTCCCCTCCACACCCTCCTCCTCATCCATCCACCGCCCAATCACTCCCCGTACAATGGGGGCATTTTTCCCTCCCAAGTACCCTAATTCTCTATTGCGCTAAACACACTCACCATGAGCCCGTAATGGCTGCTGTGCCCCCACGAGCCCCTGCCCTCCCCATACAATAGGGGCATTCTTTCCACCCACCCAAGGACCCTCATTCTCTAAACAAACTCACCATGAGCCCGTCGTGGGAGCTTCCTCCCCCCAGCCTCTCCCCTCCCACACCCTCGTCCTCATCCACGTCCTCCCAATCACTCCCCGACCCCTCCTCCTCCTCCTCTTCCTCCTCCTCCTTCCCTGCATTCTTCCCCTCCTCTCTCTCCTCTCCCTCCTCCATCGCCTCATCTCCCTCCTCTTCCTCCTCCTCCCCATCCTCCTCTTCCCCCTCGCTCTCCTCTTGTCCAGCTTGGAGCCATGCAGCCTGCAAATGCAAATGCACAAACAGAAAGCATCAACCACAAACAGACAAGCATCTTTATGCCATTCGATTAGGGCCATACATACTACAAGTATCCTGTTTCCCTTGATGCCACAGCCTACCAACCAACCTACCCCCTTCCACTGGACTCAACACACCAAACCCAGAAAGTCACCTGGTAACTCGATGTCCCTTCGGTCACATGGCACGGTTGTTTGTAGGCATGCTCACAGAGCCGGGCCAGGGACGGGCCGGCCCATTGAGGCCCATTAACGGGCCGGCCCGCCACGGGACGGGCTGGCCTGTGGCCCGTCCGCTCCATCCAGGGCGACAAAAATGTTGGGCTGGGGACGGACGGACGGGCCGAAATGCTTTTGAGTCGACTCAAAATCCGATTTGCGTCCCGTTGACGGGCAGCGTGGCTCGAGCCTGCCCCCGGGTCAAATTCTTGACCTAACCCTTACAATGTTCTTAGCCTACCACCCTCCCCCCCCCCCCCTATCTCAACTCAATATCCACATACCCCCGTGCACCTCCGTCCTCCTCAAATGGGCCTCGGCCTGGGGCGTTCACTGGCCGGCACGGCCCATCATGGGTCTACCCCGGCTCATCATGGGCCTACCCCGGCTCATCATGGGCCTACCCCGGCTCATCATGGGCCTACCCCGGCTCATCATTGGCTTACCCCGGCTCATCATGGGTCTACCCCGGCTCATCATGGGCCTACCCCGGCTCATCATGGGTCTACCCCGGCTCATCATGGGCCTACCCCAGCTCATCATGGGTCTACCCCGGCTCATCATGGGCCTACCCTGGTTCATCATGAGCCTACCCCGGCCCGTCCTCTTCAAATGGGCCCTGGCCCATTGTGGAGGCCGGCACAGCCCGTCCTGGCTCGGCCGAGCCCGTCTCAAGCTGTGACAGCCCGGGGTGGACGGGCCGGGCTGGGCCGAGCCCAGCACTCTGCACATACACACCTACACGGTCGCATCTAACCCCGCTCCACCTCCCTCCCCCCTGCCCCTCCTTTTGAGGCTTTTCTTAGCAATTGAGCGTCCAATATCCAAATAAATCACCTGGTAACTCAAAGCCCCTTCAGACACACAGTCGCATCTAACCCTGCTCCACCTCCCTTCCCCTTGCCCCTCCTTTCGAGCCACCTAACAGCCGTGTCCAAACAGGTTACCTGGTAACTTGAAGTACCCTTGGGCACCCGAATGCGCCTCGCCCCGCCCTTCCCCTCTTTTCCTCCTCCCCCTCCCAGGGCTTTGCTCTCAGCCCTCTTTCTCTCCTCCGCCTCTGCTGCTGCCATCTCCTCCTCTGTGGGCCACGTCTGGAGGAAGGCATGGGAGCGGTGGAGGAAGGGATGGGAGTGGGGGAGGAAGGGGGAAAGCGGGTAAGCTTGCGGTGAGTCAAAGAAAGAAGTGCCTTCTGTCATCCCATCCCATCTATGGGCTCCTCTCCTTCTCTCCTCCGCCTCTACTGCTGCCATTTCTTTCTCTGTGGCCCACGTCTGGAGGAAGGCATGGGAGCGGGGGAGGAAGGGGGTGCATGCTTGCTACCTCTGACAACCCATAGCCTGTGACACTCTCTGCTCTCCGCCCTCCTCCTCCCCTCCGCCTCTGCTGCTGCCAGCTCCTCCTCTGTGGGCCACGACTGGAGGCAAGGGGTGCACAGAAGGGAAGAGTGGATTGGAAAGGAGTTGAGTACAAAGGCTATTACCGATTAACCCACGGGCTTTGCTCTCCGCCCTCCTCCTCCCCTCCGCCTCTGCTGCTGCTACCTCATCTGTGGCCCATGCCTGCCGGGAGTGCTGTGTGACATTGTAACGAGATGACTTTAGAGTCGACCCAAAAGGCATCTCGTCACAATGTCACTTGTATGTCCTCTGTGGGCCACGTCTGGGGAGTCTATTTTAGAGGCGCCTCAAAAATAGACTTTTGAGTCGACCCAAAGTTACAATGTCACATATGCTCCTCTGTGGGCCGTCTGGGGGGGAAAACAGAGGGAGGAGAAGAAAAGAGAGACAAGGCGGGAGAGGGAGGGGGGACGGAGGAAAGGAGTGATCCGGCCTCTCGTCTGACTTTCATCCAACGGATCAGGTGTGTTGAGCAAAACCCACGGGTCCCTTAACTCAGCACTCGACCAAGCCAGCGCCCTTTCTGTCTGCCCCTCCCCTCCCCACCCCCCTCTTCCTGCCCCTATCCTAGCCTCACTGGCTATCCCGCTAACGGAACAGGTGCATAGAGCACGACCAACACCCCCCATTCCACTCCACCCTACCTTGAGCAAACGCCTTCTGTCCTCTGCCCCTCCCTTCGAATCTCACCTGTTCACCCGCCAGCGGATCAGGTGTGTTGAGCACAACCAAAGGGTCCCTCAACTCAGCACTCGACCGAGCCAGCACCCTCACTCCCCCTTCCTCTCCCTCCTCCCCCTCCTCCACCTCCCCCTCCTCCTCCCCCTCCTCCTCCACCTCCATCCCCTCGTGAGTCTTCTCCCCGCCTTTCCTCCTATCCTTCCCCCTGCTCCCCCCACCCTTCCGTTGCTCTCCAGCACCACAGGGGTCTAGGACTTGGTCGATTTGAGCAAGCTGGAAATCCCCCACTCCTGTGATATGCACCTGAAACGGGGGGGGGATGGGTTCGGGCGTGGGGGGGAAGGGGGGGGGGTCGGTGGCGGACGGATGCTCCATTGCACCCGAATGGGTTCAGGTGGGGAGGGGGAGGGGGTGGGTTGGCGGGTGGGACATTTCAGTGGTCCCCCCCAGAAGTGTAGGGATCCGAGGCTTGGGTCGTTATGAGCGAGCTGCAACTCTCCCCCCTCCTCCTCCCCATGCCATCCACTACAAGCCATGGAGTCCACAGTCCACTCACCGGCTGATCGTTGGTGCCATGCCATGGCCCCACTGCCCGCACGGGTCCCAGTCACGCATAGACATGACCAAATTGCGATTGCGACTAAAATCGCATAGCGCCTAGTGTGAGAAAAGGTGAACTTATATAAGTTGATTAAAGGGAAAGCACAAGGGTTTGCATAGGAATGTGAAAAGGGAGGAATGGAGGGTTGGTTGGGAGTTGGCCAAGATTATTGGCCCCCACCAATAAATCTGCTTGGGATTACTGGTGGTCCAATCCTTCTGGTGGGAATTATTGGGGGTCCCAAATAGTTGTGGACCCAACCCAACCAAATTGGGAACCCAACCTCCAATTAGGGATATTACAGCATAATTGTAGTTGATTGCTTAACTCTACTCAAGACTAACAAATCTATGTAGACTAGACATGGGCATGAGCCGAGCCTGGCTCGGCTCGCCTCGAGCCGGGTCCTCAGGATCCCCGGCTCGGCTCGGCTCGTCAGGGGGGCTTGTGTGGGCTCTCAATTGGGGCCACGGGGTTTGGGGTCTCTAGTCCGGGGCCTGGACCAGATTGTTGAGCTGATCGTCTGCTTCTACATCTTACAAAACTCTCAGGAGGTGCTGTTGGTGTAAATAGGGCTGGCTGAGGGCGATAGACTAGGGCAACAGGGTGAGGTTAGGGTTGGCAGACGAAATGGGAGCGGGAGGTTTGTCGATCTGAGATTTGACAATCGCGAACCCCCCCTCTCCCGAGCCGCGAGCCAGCTGGCTCGAAATCGAGCCCAGTCAGACACTCTGTAGTGCGTTCACTCATGTATGCATCATCCATGTATGCATCATCCATGCATGCATCATCCATGCATGCATCATCCATGGATGCATCATCCATGTATGCATCATCCATGTATGCATCATCCATGTATGCATCATCCATGTATGCATCATCCATGTATGCATCATCCATGCATGCATCATCCATGCAAGAACGCCCTCTCCACAAACCATGCATTCCATTCCCCGCTCTCACCAGCTGATTCACGTTGATGCCATGGCCCCGCACGTATCCCACCACTCGCAGCGTGCCACATGGCGCGGTCTTAGTGACCGCTGCTGCGCAGACGTCGGTTGCACCGGGGATAAAGTCAAACTGCCAAAGAGAGGAGAGGAGGGGGGAAGGGGGGGGGGGGGGAAGGGAAGGGGGAAGGGGGAGGGGAGGGAGGAAGCGAGGGGGAGGGAGGGAGGAAGCGCGGGGGAGGGAGAGGGCAAGAGCAGAGAAGAGAGGTCAGCAAGGCTACTACCATACCATGACACACCAATCCGGGACTCGATAGGTCACATACGAGCAAGAGTGAGTGGTGTGGTGAGGGAGTGACAAGATAGAATGCACTACAACACATAATGCACTATGATGGGTTACAACATAGATTGCACTACCAGACATAATGCGTTACAAACAACTTATGATGCGCTACAAGATACTACAAGCAAACTCACGTCATGCGCCACAAGGTAAGGCCGGTGCGTCCTCCACCCGGGAGGGACGGGGCGATGCTCAGCAATGTGGCGAACCACCTGCCGCAGGGACGGGGCAAGGAGAGCGAGAGACAGATGCTTGCATTGATGGAGGGAGTGGGGGAGGGGGGCCCCTTGGAGTCGCTTCACCAGTCGTTTGCCAACTGACTGGACCAGAAGCGTGGTTCTTAGGCGTTTCAAATAGGCTCAGTTGGTTGCCGAGTCAGCGGACCCAAGGTCAACCCAAGTTTCGTTTTGCATCCTTCGGACCAAAGGTCAACCCAAGTTTCGTTTTGCATCCTTCGGACCAAAGGTCAACCCAAGTTTCGTTTTGCATCCTTCGGACCGAAGGTCAACCCAAGTTTCGTTTTGCATCCTTTGGACCAAAGGTCAACCCAAGTTTCGTTTTGCATCCTTCGGACCAAAGGTCAACCACCAGAGCCATCTCAGCCAGTGTCTAGCAAACTCCTGGCACGTGCCCTTGGAGAACTCCCCTCCAAGCACCGCCTCTATTGTTCTCCTGTGTTGCAGGATGAGCATGCCTCGATGCAACCCCGCTAACTCACCGGAGCCATCTCAGCAGCTGATTCCACTGTGAACACCTGGCTTGGCGCGTGCCATTGGGGAACTGTTAGGCTGCCTTGGCTTGCAGCACATGCTTTCACTCACCGGCGCCATCTCAGCAAGTGATTCCACTGTGAACACCTGGTTTGGCACGTGCCCTTGGGAAACTCCCCTTCCAGCACGGCCAACGCCCCCTACCTCTAAACGAGTATGCCTCATCTCGTTATCATATTGATCCCTCTAGACGTGCCCTTGGCTCACCGGCGCCATCTCAGCAGCTGATTCCACTGTGAACACCTGGCACGTGCCCTTGGGAAACTCCCCTCCCAGCACCGCCAGAGCCCCCTTCCTCTGCTCCCCATGCCTCTTCCCCTCGTGAGCAGGGGCGGAGGAGGAGAGGGACGAAGTCGCAAAGGGGGTCGAGGAGAGGGAGGAGGCAAAGGCAGGCGAGGAGAGGGTAGTGGCAAGAGCGACCTGGAGAGGCAACCCTTGGGCTCGAGCCACAGAGAGGGCAGATCGGCCCCAGTCGTCAATGTATGCAGCAGCGGAGGGGGAGGAGGAGGAGGAGGTTTTGGAGGTGGTGGTGGTGCGGAGGGAGTGAGTGTGGGAGTGTGAGGTGGTGTGAGTGTGGAGAGAGGAGGTGGAGAGGGCAGATGGGGTGGAGGGGGGGAGGGGGTCGAGAGGGGTGATGGTAGAAGCAAAGACTACCACGTCAGCAACCTGTGGGTGGAAAGGGAGGGGGGGCAGCAGGAGAGGGAATGAGTTGAAGGGTTAGCAAGGAACAAGACGCAACAGGGCAGAGGGGGTCGAGAGGGGCGATGGTAGATGCAAAGTCCACCATATCAGCAACCTGTGGGTGGAAAGGGAGGGGTGGCAGGCAGGGGTTAGCAAGGGACAAGTGGACTTTTGAGTCGACTCAAAATTCACAAGGGACAAGTCGCAACAGGGCAGAGGGGGTCGAGAGGGGTGATTGTAGAAGTGCGAAGACTACCACATCAGCAACCTGTGGTGAGTGGAAGTCGTGGCGTATGAAAACTTAGGGGTTTCTGGATAAGCAAGAACAAGATGCAACATGGGAGAGGGGCTGGATGGAAACGGGAGATGGTGCGAGAGGGAGAGAGGGGGGAAGGGGGGGGGGGGTTGAAAAGGGAGAGTTAAAAGATTTAGAGTTTTCAAAAACCCAGGGCAGGTGATGCGGGGAGGGGTGGGGAGGGGGTCGAGAGGAGTGAATGTAGATGCAAAAATAACCACGTCAGCAACATCTGGTGCAAAAATAACTTGAACTAATCAAGTTCGAGGATGGAAAACTTTTCGCACTCAGACGGCTAAGATTTCGCATGCTCTTGTGCATTTGGATTTCCGGGCAAAACCCATGGATTGGCTGCAGCAAGTTATAAGACATCCTAATTGCCAGACTGAGTCACACTAAGGACCAAAATCACCTTCATAAGCTCAAGACAGCGAAGGAGGTCACCAGGGGGGCAGGGTACGACCTGGAAGAGAGGGAAGGGGGGGATTCAAGAAGATCCGGGTCAGGACAGGGGAGCAATGGGGCGAGGATGGGAGCACAGGCGAAGGCATAAAAGGGGGAGAGGGGAGAGGGGAAGAGAGGGGGGGGCGGTGATAAGAGACGAGAAGAGAGGGGGGGGTGATAAGAGAGGAGAGGGAGCGAGAAGTGATGGGATGAAATGAGACACATGAGGGCCAGGCATGCGAAACAATAAACTCATTTAAACATAGAATGCGGAGGAGGCACTAGGCGCATCCCCCCCAGCCCCTGCATATCCCACCCCCTGTGCCCCTGCGCCCTCCCCGTATGCCCCTGCACATACTCCCCCCCCCCTGTGCAACTATGCCCTCCCACCTATGCCTCGTACAGCAAATGCAGCTACTAACGAAACGAGCTACTCACAGCAAAGCGCGCCTTGATCTTCGGAAGAGCCACCAGACGCACTCCCCCCAGGCCCTGTGCGCTCCCCCTGATCCCCTCCGCCCCTGCTGCTCCCGGCCCTCCCCCTTCCAGGTCCATCCCCTGCCCTGCTGCTGCTGTTGCTGCTGGGGGGGCTGAAGACTGGTTGGGGATAGGAGGAGAGGGAGTGGGGAGGGTGGGTGGGGGAAGTGGAGGGATGTGGAGAGGGGTGGGGAGCGGTGTGTGTTGGATGAGAAATGAAGCTGAGTAGCTGAGACAAACTGACTTGTGACGGAAGGAGGAGAGGGTTGGGAGGGGGCGAGGGGGTGGGGGGAGGGGGGGGGGGGGTTTGGGGGGCGGAAGAGGGGAGAGAGGAGAGATGGAGGCGATAGAGAACGAAGAGAGGCCAACTGAGAGGCACGAGAAATCTGTAGAGTCCCACACGAAAAACACCTGAAAGCAGCAGAGCGCCACCTGAAAAAAACCTGAAAGCAGCAGAGCGCCACCTGAAAAACACCTGAAAGCAGCAGAGCCGCACCTGAGAAACACCTGAGGCAGTGCATGCACCTGAAGAAAGCAGAGCCTGACCTGAGAGGCACCTGAGGCAGCAGATGCCTCAACAAACGTATCAGCCAGGTGAGCCACATCCACTTGGCGAGATAGACCAATCAGAAGCTGTGAATCGGGGAGTGGTGAAGGGGAGAGAGGACACGTGGGGACAGGAAGGGGGAGGTGGAATGGAGAGAGAGACGGACACGAATGGACCCCTTAGGCGACCCACATGCATCATGCATCATGCATCATGCATGCACATCCACTAGACGAGATAGATGAATCAGAAGCTGTGCGATAAGACGCGCCAGGGAAAAGGTGCACACAGATAACTCGTGTTTGAATTCGTGTTTGAATGCGGTACAAACGAATAGGTCTGTCCGTTCCAATAATAACTCGCCTCTGAAAAGCACTCACTTCAAGCTCGATTCACCACGACACGTGGAGGAGAGAGCACTCTCTGGTAGCAGCAGAAAAGGCACAGCGCACACTGGCTGGCTCTCTAGGAAGCCAACACGCCAACGAGAGCACAGCACAGCACACTCACCACGGCGACTTGAAGTCGCCTCACGGACTCGCTTAACAACCGATCCAAGCTCGGCCCACCATGCTTTAACCAGCTAGTTAGGTGACTGGCATCGAGAGCTTGACTCACCACGAGCCGGGGAGGCGTGGTGGCACCAGAGAGCGCTCTCTTGGCGGCCAGCACATCGGCGCGCTTCTTGTCTCGCAGCTGGGAGTTGAGGAGGGGGAGGCGGCGCAGCCACGGGGGAAGGGGGGGAGGGTGGGGTGGGGGGAGGGGGAAGTGGTATTGAGGGGTCAGAGGAGGAAGTAGTAAAATCCTGCATTTCTGCTCCCCTTTTTGTCGCGGATTTGAATGAAACGAAGGGGGACGAGAGGGGAAGGGTTTTACCAAACCTCAGACCTCGAACCTGTTGTTGAGGCTCAAAACCGTTGGCCAGCCAAAACCCTAACCCCTCTCAACCTCCCCTTGCTTCAAAATCAGACTCCCCCATTCCTGCAGCGACGAATCCCTATCCCTTCTATCTGCTACAACGCACTCGCCCTGCGAAATGACGAACTGCTCGTAGCCCCATCGTACCAGCTTGTTTCGGTTGAGCCTCTCCGCCTTAGCAACGGCACCATGCCCCTTCCCCTTGCCCTTCGCCCCCCCGCGCGCTGGCCCTGCTGCTCCGCCGTCCGACGCTGCAGGGGGGAGGAATGGGGAAGGGGGCAAGAGGAAGGGGCGGGGAGGGAGGAGAGGAGGGAAGGGAGAAGCACCAGGGAGGCGTCCGGAAATGTCAGGGAAGAAAAAAGAAACCGGGCAGGAAGCCCCGGCAAAGATTCGGGGTTTAAGGGCAGGAAAAGATCTAGCGGTTTCATAAAACCCCACGCGGTAAGGTTTATGAGTAGCGCAGAGATCTTTCCGATACCGTTTCGAAGGCTGTCCCTGAATGGCGTGGCCAGCTTCTGAAAACGGGCCACTCGCGAACTGCTGCTAGAAAATTCACACGCGATTTCCTCAATGGGAGTGACATTCCAAGGCTGAATCTACGCCCCGCCTCGTCCAGCTGGTGAGAGCGCACGTACGTAAGTACTCCTGGCGAAGAACGGATGGTGTGTCTAGAATCTGGAAGCTAACAATTCGCGAATTGCTCCCGAAAAAATGGCACGCGATTTCGCCACTGCCGGTAACGTCATGAAAGGCGAGGTAGATGGGGGGGCGCAGATTTACCCGCGGCCATGTAAGCCGTACCAGAGGTGCTACAGGCAGGAACGGTGAGGATTTGCCCTTGGCGACCTATTGCATGGCACGTTGACTCTTCGTTAGACGCCTCACGATTACACCGCGACAGAAGGAGCGCTCGGTACCTACCCTTAGCGACCCTTAGACGGGAGCGAGCGAATTTTACCCTTTGCAATCTTTCGCAGAGCACGTTGGCTCTTCGTGAGGCGTCTCGAAAGCACCTTGTACCTTGTGTGCCTTTAGACAACAGTGCTACGGACCTACCCTTAGCGACCTTGTAACCGAACCAACGAGGTGCTATAAACGGGCGCGGTGAAGAGATTTACCCTTAGCGACCTTGTGCAGGGCACGCTGGCTCTTGGCGCCGAACCGCGACTTGTGCGCCTTGTTCTTCTGCGTCCTCGCGCCGCCGCCCGCCATCACTGAATCTCCACCAGCGTGACTTACGCTGCCTTGATTTACGGTACCTTGGTTAAAGCTAAAAGTACCTACTCAAACCCTTATCTTAAGCGAACAGGCTGGGCCTCGGTAGGATGGCGTCGCTTCAAAGGCTGATCAGCGCGCCAGCGACAGCAAAACGTGGGAACCAGAAACAGGGTCGCGTGCTCGGTTTTAGGGTTTCGTGGCCTGGGTTTCGGGTTTTGCAGTTGGGGGAAGTTTAGCTGGCGGTGGGGGAAGGGGAGGGGGAAGGGGACGAAGGGTAGGGGGAGAGGGCGGAGATGGAAGGGTGGCACGAAGTGTTATGATCTTGAAACTTGCCAGAATGTTTTAAAATCCTCAGCGCACTACAACCGTCCGACGCGAGGCTACACTTTTCAAGCGAACCAGACAACCATTTCAGTCTGTAAGCGGTATAGATGTACACCTAGCCCGCGGTATTTTCACACCCAGTATTTTCACACGGGGTGCCGCCGAGAGGGTATTCACGCCCCGAAAACAGCTCCTGAAGACCAGATCCGGATACCCTTGAAATACAAATTGAACTTGGGTTTCTATACGAAAAGTTTACTTCTCGATTTAGTGTTTCTCGAGTCGGGAAAACCGACTCCAGCTTAGGCAGTGCTCAAAGTTTTTGCCCGCGTGGAGTCTGCTAAGCTTAGGCCGTAGGTACAAGGGGAAACTGTCTACGCACTCATAAATGGTCAGGGTGGAAACAAAAATTCTTCTGCCGTTTAGTTTCAGGGTGTGCAATTACCGCGGGCTAGGTGTATCTAAGCAGCTATACCTATTTTACTCTATTGTCTTACCCTGAACAGTCCAAAATTCAATCTCACCTACCAGGTGTTAGCATGACTCGCGTTGACACTGAAACCGATTGGCTGCAATCTTTACGATGGCGAACAGTCAAATCGTATCTCGACAATTGCGAGAATCCGAGCTGGGAGGTCACCCTTGCAAATTATCTAGTGCATGAGCGTGAATTTGTAACCAAGTGATGGTCTATACTGTTGGTTTTCCCCGTCAATATCCCATTTGCTCGGATTTGACTATTTCCTGCTTATAGGCTCAAGTTGCGTGCAATACTTGTGGGATCCGAAATGAGAAAAGATGTATTCCCTCCCCCACAATTCCTCGCATCGCAACTCCTAGCCAAAGGCAGCCAACCACTCTCATTTAGTTATTAGTCCACCATTGACGTGGCTCTTGCCGCCCTTACGCATCCTGTGTTTGTCAACTCTATATCTTTGCATATGCCATATCCAGGCTATTAGTCAACAGCAGCCACCTCAATTTTGAGATACTGTACTGTATCTCGCCACGGTGGATTTGATTTCGGGCCAGCACTTCCCAAGCGAGGAAAATAGCCTGCCATCGCCTCGACTCCGCGTGGATCCGAACAGTCCATGTCAGCTGTTGGTTGTGCCTAGCGAGCAGTGTAGAGTTACCCATACGTGGATTTCTGGATAGTAGCAATTTAATAGCTTTTCTTTCATAGTTTATTGTACTATGTTCACGAATTTTTTGCACTTCGGAATTCAAAATCGACGCACGAACGATAGTACAAGTACTGCCACTCGAAGCGTCAAGGTCCGTCTTGGCTATTTTTAGATAAGCCGCACTGCATGGGCTTTGCATGCCAGCGCACGACAATTGCATAGGAAATCATCGCATGGCGTGGAAGGGCGTATATCGGGAAGGTAGGCAAAGGGAGGAAGGTGGCGGCCTGGAGGTGGGTGGGCATTGTAACGCATGGCCTCTGCACAGTACGCGGGCCTAGAAACGACCTTCCCAACCGCTTTCCACAAATCGGCTACCTATGCTAGGTAGCGCGAAATGGGAAGGAAGGGTTGGGAGGGGCGGATTAGGATTGGTCGACACTTGGGACCAATCAGATTTTAGTTGTACAAATTGAGTTGGCGAAATTCCCAACTCACGCGATGGTTGGATTTGTGACCAATCAGAACCAGGGAGTTGGTTGGCAGTGCCAACTCAACTCGAATATTCTTATGCTGTACACTATATGCTAATCTGAATATATTGTTCTAAACCTCTCATTGGTTGGAAATCCAACCCTTTTGCCACATAAGCTAGCTCACCTCCTTGGAGCCATGGAGGAGGTTGAGCAGCTGCTAGGAGTCATTGGAAGGGGTCTGAGCTGAGAAGCTCATTCTCAACTTCCCACTCCAAGAAATCAATCTTGAAATGGGATTTTCTTTAAGTCATAAGCTCTCCTCACAAGCTTCCCTTCACTAGTGGCTTCTAGTGTGATCTCCTAGGGGAAGCCCTACCCGACCAGAGTCTCAAGCACTTGTCTTCAAGGGCCTTCCTCAAGCTTAAGCTATCTCTTAGAGGAGGTTCCTCCTAAATACTACTCTAGGGGATCGTTAGTTGATTTTGTACTCCATTTTATATCCTAGGATCTTGGATGTTGGGTTTGGACTTCAACCCTTGTTGCCCATGATATAAGGGCAAGGGTTGTTACATTTGGTATTCAGAGCTACGTTAGTCTTAAGCCTTGTGGGATTTTTCTTGATTTTTTTTTTGTTAGAGGGGTGATTGGCCTTCAATCCAAGACATTGGAGTGAAGATTTCAAGATATCTCAAGCTTCTCCAAGTCATTTTGAAGAGCTTTTTCAAGATCTTCATCAAATTCCTCCACTTCTCAAGACAATTTTCCAGCACAACCTCTTCTCCTGTCTCCACCATTCAAGATTTGAAGAGAGAACATTTTCTCTCTTACCCACCTTGTTGGTGGAAGACTCCCCTGAGGAGTGTGGCTCAGATCTGCGATCTGTTGCAAGATCTAGTTTAGATCTTGCCCTAGCATTGAGGTGCTAGGGATTGGGCAACAGATTGTATTTCTTGTAATTTCTCTTATTAAGTTATTCTGTTAAGAGATCTCTTTATAGAGATTGTCTTGCCCTCTCACTGCAGTGATTGGGACTTGAACAGATTTCTGAAGAGATTTTAAAGAACATTTCAGATCTGTTGAAATATCTTCCTTGTTTTACCATGACTTCAAGTCAAGCTTTGGAAAACTTGGAAAGGGAGGAGCCTAATGTGACTCATGAGGGAGCCAACCTTGCTGCTAATAATAACCAACAGCAAGATGAGGCCATGGCTGATATTGAATTGGTGGACATAAATTTGGAGAATGAGGGAAATGAAGAGCATGGAGAAGCAGAAGGGATTGATGGAGCAGAGGGGGAGGATGATGGCATCGAGGAATGGTCGCTCTCCGATGATGTGGCTAAACTCCAGGCACAAGTCTCGGAGCAGCAGCTTATAATCAATCAACAGAAGGGACACATCAACTCCCTCAATATTGCTTTGGCGACACAAAAGACCGACACGACTAGGCTGCAAGCCGATCTCAATATGGCATATGGAGAGGTACGGGATCACAAGCGTCTGCTACATAACAGGGGCAATCAAATCCAGGCCCTGGAGAAAAAGTGCGACCAGCTGCAAGCTGCTATCACCCAACTGCAGACTACAATTGCCCAGCTGCAATCTACAATCGCCCCGATGCAACCTGCTATTGCCCACCTGCAGAACCAGTACCGGGATATTCGGCGGGGTCCTATCTACCAACACTCACCCGCTACTGCTGGCCCATCGGGCACCCAATCCAACCCGCCGCCCGTTGCATCTCCTTCAACTGCAGCACCTCAGCAGCCTGTCCAGCCCATGGCAACGCCTTTTGGCTCGCTCCCCACTGCGCTCCCAAAATTCATCCATGGCAAGACGGATGTGGAGAACTGGGTGACAACTGTGGATGAAATGTTGACTCTCCACAACATGCGCACCAACGCTCGTGTCACCGCCGTCTCTGGTGCGTTGGATGAGCATGCTAGCCAAACCATGTTTGCTAGCCGGAAACAGCTCGAAGCAAGTGGAAAGTTTTTCACTTGGGACGAGTTCTGTACTGCAATGAAAGCGGCTTTTCTTGTCAAGACAACTGACATGGAGGTGCGTCGTCGCCTTGAAAACATCAAGTGTGGCGATCGCCCAGTGCAGAAATATGCACAAGAGTTTGAGGGCGTTCTGCGACTGATGGGCAAGCAGCTATCTGAGAATGAAGTTATGTATATCTTCTTCCAGAATTTGCCCCAGTCCCAGCAGGATAAGCATGTCGCAAATGGCCTCAACAAATGGAGCACCTACAAGGAGCTCAAAGAGGCGGTTCAAGCAACGGACGAGACTGTTCGTATGCTAGCAACGCCTTCCACCGACCAGCCTGAGTCGAGGACTCAGGCGAGGGTTGATGGGGGCAATGGTGGTGGTGGCCATTGGAATTCCAAGGGGAAGGGCCATGGGTACAAGAGGCCCTTCCACCAGAATGGTAACCAGCAGCGTCCTCCGGCTAAGAGGGCGAATGGTGGCGGTTACAAAGGGCCGCCAAGGGACTTCTCTAATGTCGTCTGCTGAGGGTGTGGCCGTCGTGGTCACATGGAATTTCAGTGCCGCTATAGGAATATCATAAAACATAGTGGTAAGCCTAAGGGCAACAACAATGGCGGCGAAGGACCTTCTGGCAGTAAGAAGGATTTTCAGAAGTCCAACTAGGGTGTGGGTACCTAGTTGGTCAGATAGATCGAGGGGATGAGGCATATGCTTTATGTGACGATGATTTACTAAAGCTAGAGAAGCTTGCTGAATGCAAAATCTCTTATTTGTTTGCCTCTTCTTTTAATAAAAACTCAATGTTTGCACCTCGATCGTACCCACTTGATGCTATATCCATCGAAGCGTTACGAGATAAATTCTCAGTCGTTTACTGTGGCCTGGAAACATTGCCTTCTGTACTCGATGTTGTGAGTCGTTGTACTCAAAAGCACCCCCTGACTGCGGTCGCCGTGGTGACTCGTACAGTAAAGGGCGAAACGTTCAAATCGCTTCGTGGATGGGTTGTGCTGGTGTCTTGGGACAAGGGACACCACGTGTGGTGGACCAAATCTGAATCCTTTGGACGAGCTCGCCACAATGTCAAGGTGTACTACAAACCCTCGTCGAACATTGTGGCATGCCCCATCCGTCCAATGCATCAACAAAATCTACTCCTTTCGGGTCACGTTAACGGACATAGCGCGAAAATTCTTGTCGATACAGGTGCCACTGTTTCCCTCCTTGATGAAAAGTGGGTCACACCGCTTGGGGTCCTCGTTGAAGGACCGTCATATCCCATT